AAGACGCACCTTTTTCTCATTACGAGAAGGGAACTTGCGGAACGAGAAGAGCACTTGCCCCGACCAGTCAAGCATCCCTGGACTGCGCGAACTTTTTTTTTTGGTTGACCGACACAGTCACTCAAAGATAACAAGAATGCAGCGACAGGTCGTGGGATCGAATCCCGGCTGCGGCGGCTGCATTTCCGATGGAGGCGGAAATCTTTTAGGCCCGTGTGCTCAGATTTGGGTGCACGTTAAAGAACCCCAGGTGGTCGAAATTTCCGGAGTCCTCCACTACGGCGTCTCTCATAATCATATGGTGATTTTGGGACGTTAAACCCCACATATCAATCAATCAAGGATGCGTCGACATGAGTTCAACGACGGGGATCACTTCCACAGCTTCAAAAATAATCAACAGCTAACCGCACGAGCAAAACGAGACAGCTCGAAACGCGCTCAAGCCAGAGAAAGCAAGTGATGGAGGCTTTTTGTATGCACATACGAACCATGCAAACAAGAAAGCCAGAGGATAAATGGCAGACGGTACCTCGGAGGGGTTTTGTCACTGTAATGAGCTATTTATGGTGTGACGGTTTCATTCGGCTTTCAAAAAAAAAAGAGCGTAGAAAAGAAAGAAAGTTATTGCTGGTGTTTAGTGTCCTAAAACCGCTTTACGATTACGAGAGACGCAGAAAAAAAACGAAAACCCCACAATAACGTCAGTTTTCATTCTAGGTCACGATATCTTCTAACATTACACTTATCCAGTCGTAAGCCAGCGCACTTCACCGTCATTTTCGCGCGCAGTAGTTCTGGTGAGCGTCGCTACGTGCTGATGCGATTGGCAGTGGTGTAGTGACTTCACTGTGCGATTTAAATATTCGGTCAATTGATACCAGTGCTTTGAGCTATTCTAATAATTTTCGTAGATATCAGTCGGTTCAAGTCTATTCTCGCCGTTCCTGAGTCGATACAGACTGTGAAACACCTATGGCGCATACCTGCATTCCATGGGCCGTGTTAGGCGGACCTCATGTGACCGAAGGAAAAGTTGCAGGGCGTACTTTATTTGTGGGATGACCTGCAAATGGCATTCGTGTTACAGTAATGATTGACATGCTCATTTTGATATATACGTAGTAAAAAATATGGGCGCGTCAGTGTAAAGTCATAACGCGATAGATAGAAACTGTAAAAAATGTCCTTGGTACGCCAACTTCCAAGTTGAAGAAGGCTTGGTGCTTGTTGGAGGACTATAGTGGCTGTAGATCCCAATAGAATGCGATAAATAAGGGTGTAAGGTAGGGAAACACGATGTGTTTAATGTTATTCACCGCGTATTTACAGGTTGTTTTCAGAGCCTAGATTGGGAAGAGTTAGGGACAAAAAGTTAATGTAGTGTATCTTGATAACCTATGATCAGCTGATGACAATGATTTCATGAGTAACTTAGGACACGAATTAAAGCTCGTTATTAAGAAATGGACAGCGGTAGAATAGGTCTGAAAACCAATATGCATAAAAATAAAGTAACGAGCAACAGTACTAGCAAAGAAGAGCGACTTGCGTTATAAAGGGTGAGACTCTGAAAGTCGTAAAGGAATATGTTTACTTAGGACACGTATAGTAACCGCGGAGCTGAACCATGAAAGCAAAATAATCCTGATGGAGAAGAATGGAATGGAGAAATTTTGGCAATCATTCTCAAATCATGAATAATAATGTACCACTAACCCTCAAAAGAAAAGTATATAACCGCTGCATCTTGCCCGTACTTACCTACGGAGCACAAACCTGGATGCTCACAAAGCGGGTTCGGCTTAAATTGAGGGCGACGCAGTGAGCGATGGAAAGGAAAATGATAGGTGTAACCTTAAGAAACCCGAAGATAGCAGAGTGGGCTAGGAAACAAATCATGGTTAAAGATATCATATAAATTTGATATCATATATGTGTATAATATGTTGTTGCGGGTGTGAAATGGCAGCAGAAAGCACAGGACCGAGTTGACGGGCGAAACAATGGAGAGGCCTTTGTCCTGCAGCTGACGAAGTTAGTATTATGATGATGATGATGATGATGATGATATAGTTGAAATCAAGAAGAAACATGGGCGCGTGTGTTTGTTATCGTTTTTTTCTTATAGTTTTTCTCTCTTTTTTCCATCCCCCCTGTTTACCAGCCACTGTGACTGGTATAGCATATCTGATCCTGCATTCTTGTTAACCATTCTACCTTTCTCGTATCTTCTCTCACTACGCTACACTCGCACCAGTGTTGTGATGTCCCTGCAACGCCGTGATTTAGGGCATCGTTCATACAGCCGTCAAGCACTTCGTCATGTCACCGTCACGTCCAAAAAACGTACAGCATGCGCGATGGATCCAATGACACGGAGCGAAAGGAAGAATATGCCTGCGTAATTGTGGACCTCAGAAAAAATGGATACCCAAAAAACTTCATTCGAGCCGCTACCCGCCGCGTAGAGCAACAGGGGATACGAAAACCCCAATCAACACTAATTGGCAGCCCCCCGAAACGCCTACCGGTCCCATACGTTCAGGGAGACAGCGAGATGTTAGGGAGTTTAAGTGCTGGGTACCCAAGCGGCTTGCGTACGTAGGACGTTGGGGCGGCGGTATTGCGCATGCGCGAAACCCCAAACAGATGCGTCGCAAGATCGCTGGGGCGATGGGGCCATGCGTCCACGCGGTCCACCTTCGCAAGAACTCACGATATCCGCACTGCGGATACTCTAGCCGTCGAGTTAAAATAAGCCAAAGTGCGAGCACTTATAGCGATTACACGGTTTCAGCCAGATTTCCAAAGCTAGAATGGCCTGGAACATAGAAATTAAAAGGCATATGCCAGGCCCCGACCAGCTGAATAGGGGGCGCCATCTAGCGCGGCCATAGTGAAACAGACAACCACAACTTTGTTATTGCAGAAACATTGTGCATTGTACATCTGGTGCAAAAACTGCGCAGCGACAATATTACAAATCAGTAACCTTTTCATTCATTTTCACCTCAAAAACATTACGCGTAAGCTAACATGTTCACGACTGCGGTTGCATGAAGTGTCACAAAACGTCGACACTGTCGTTACAGTAACCTTGTATTTTTCACTTTTTTGCGTATACCAGATTACTGTACACAATAAAAAAAGTGTCCTGATCACTATGTATGTTTAATTCAACATTTTAAATCATAAAAAGACTGAAATAATACTTATGCGACAAGACGCTTTGGCTCTGCGAGCGCGTGTGAACTTCGTGCGGCTTGCGTTTGCGGGCGTGCCACCGTGGCGCCAACTAAAATGCATTCCGGTTGGGTATGGGTTGGGCACGCAACGCCGCGCGCTCCCAAGCCCGCAAGGCCCCAAGAGAATGCTTACCCAGAACTAAAACTCCCTGTTGACGCGGATCTTCAAGAAGGAAGGGGTTCGCATCGCGCACGTGCCTTCGCGTACGCTGGGCCGCCTTCTCCCCCGCCCGAAAGACCGGCCAACAATGGACATGACTCCCGGTGTCGTTTACAATTAACCGTGCGCCGAGTGCCCCTCTTCGTATATTGGCGAGATGAAAAACCTACCGGAATGACTGAAGTAACACGCCAACGATGTGCGGAAGCTCTACAAAGAGCGCAGCGCAGTCGCCGAACATGCAGAGACGTTGGATCACCGAATAAATTTCGAAGCGACAGCCATCCTTGAAAGCGAGCTGAACTGGAGGAGAACGTTATAACTCGAGTCGTGGCACACACAGAGGACAGCCCATAACATCAACTGCTCTCTCGGAACCCTTCCCCCAGCGTATACACATGGACTGCGCTCCACGGCAAAACGAGAGAGAGAGAGAGGGGGAGGGGTCATTATCCACCCCGCGAGTGCTTTGAAGACGCCGCTGCTATACGTAGCTCCGCAGTCACCCCTGAGGGAGTAAGAAAGTCAGTTTCGAAACGTCGGGTTTCTTCAAAACCTTTGGTTAGAGTCTAAATCATCTTCCAACTTGAAACTTGGTTTTCCTGGCCTCGCACTTCGACGGAAACTTTGTTCTTGGTCGGTTTACATTCAAGTCAAAGAGGTGATGGATCCGCCAATGTCGACAGAAGCACGTTTTTATGCAGTGTTGGGTGACTTGTGCCATGGTTACCTAAAGCCAAAGGAACGAAATCAGCCTTATGCATTAAACAACATAAATGACTTCTTCATTGAGTAATGTTTGCGTAAACAAAGACTAAACAGTTTAATACAGATAAACCAAGACCACAATGTTTATATACGGTAACACGCCAAATTGTAGGATATTCATCACATCGGCTGTCATGACAACCACATTTCTGATTTCGTGATATTGAGCGGCTTTATGAAGTTTGTATTGCTTTGAAACGAAGAGAGTGACGACCGCCCGAAACTCGACAACGAATATGTGGTTGTGAAACGTGCAGGCCTCGCACTCAGTGAAGGCACCTGACAGGTCTATTCTGTAGGGTGGGCCTCCGTCACCGTGCCGGCGACGAAAGCGTAGGGCACTGCTCTGCGTCACTGTCAATGTTTTTTTTTATTTTTAAGGATATCACGAATAGGAAATCATTTCATGTTACGAAAAGCGGGGTCGTGACGGTGACGCGACGGTGCACTTGATGGCTGTGGGAGTGATGCCTAACGTGGCCCTGCATAGCTCTGTGAAATGTGAATTGGCCTTTCAGTCGCGCTGGCTACAGTTCTACATCTCACCGGCCCTGTGCAACGCAGCCATGTAAGCAGTCTAATCAGAATTCACTTGGTGGTTGTCTTGGTCACAAGAGAAGAATAAATGGGCATGGAAATGTGCCGGATGCTTAAGTTGAGGCAGCTATCTTTATTTATCTGCAATGCATTTCAGGTTGCATGAGTAAAGGATTTAACGTTGATGAATTCAGCAGCATTGATGTCAGCTGGATAACTGTGGGGACGAGAAAACGTCCCTTCATCTGAGAGCATTTATGCCACAGTCGTGGTTTTCTATTGCGCAGACCGTGTTCTACCAGATGACGGCAGCAGTGATGTACGCTGGAGCATCGATGATGCTGGTTCGAAATTCACCTGAGCTGCCTGTTCACGCAGTAAGTTCTATGCCTTCATCATAAGCTTATCCTGATAAATGGAGGAGGTACATTCGATGGGCACTGTGAAATAACATTAGTGTTGTCTATGTAGGCACAGACGCACGTTAAAAATGTCGCCGCCCTTACAACCTCGGCAGGTGGTTGACCAGACAAACAGTAAGGGGTGGCCTTGGTTTTTATCAAGGACACTCTGTGAAGGTGGATGACCATCGAAGCTGTTTAGCACATGACACAGAGGTGACACAAGATTTTAATGTAATAATGCTGGGAGTTTTACATCCCAAAACCACAATATCGGGATGAGGGACGACATTGTGGAGGGCTGCGGAAGTTACGACCGCGTGGGTTTCTTTAACGCGCACCTAAATCCAAGTTCATGGGCCTCTACAGCATATCGCCTCCACCGAAATGTTGCCACCGCCGTGGCCGGGTTAGATCCCGAGACCTTCGAGTCAGTAGTCGAGCACCATAACACTAGGCCACCACGGCAAGCCAAAACTGAATTTCATTAAAACGTCCGGAAAGAAATGTGAAGATACAGAAAGGTTCAGGAAATCCTACGTGAATACCTAGTATTCTCTTTTAAAGTTTTTCATATGGCGGTTTCTTGTATTCGGATCCTTGGTTGGCTCCGTGAAAGCCACGTTAATTTCAATGCACGCAGGCACATAAACGCTGATGCAAGAATGCACTGCGGTGTTTTGACCATCTCACAAAAACGTGCGTGAAGCGTCTCTTGCTTTCCACCGGCTGTCACGATATTGCACCCTGTACTACTAGGATATGTATTTATAATATTATGGCTATACGTTATTCGTACGTTTGAAGTAGACACTGTTACTGAACGTTTCTTGACGTGTTGCATGATTTCTCGTTCATCGTTTGCTTTTTAGGTGGTCGGAATGGTCACAGGAGGACTTCACTCAATCAATTTCTTTGTCGTCGCCTACAACACCTACATTGCGCAAGGAAACAACTGATTTCCTTATATAAAGTGGAAGCCATCGCCGTTCTTTAATACCTACTGTTTTATTGGTATTCGTGAAAATAAAGGGATAATATTGTCAAGGAGGTGAGAGAATAAATGAAATAAATATATTTACAAAATATACAGGGAGAGTCAGAGGCAGCTGCAGCCAAGATGGAGGTACAACAGCAACAACAACACCAGCGTGATCGCATTCGTCGTCTTCCTCGATTACCTGATTCTTTCTCGTTGCCGATGTCGTGTAACATATAACCCCCCGCCGTCGATAGCGCCGTCTCGGCGTCTAAAAGAAAGTAGCATCATATGCGGAGATGTATGGTTTCAGACGGGACACGTAGACGACGTCAGTGGCGAGTGCGGACGACGACGACTGACTGTCCACCGGAGCGATCTCATATGTGACTTTAGTAAGCTGGCGTAAAACCTTGTAAGGCCTCGAGTAGCGAGATAGGAGCTTCGAAGAGAGGCCAACGTGACGGTATGGTGTCCAGAGGAGGACCATTGAGCCTGGAGAGTAGGAAACTACTCTGTAATGGCTATCGTAGCGGGCCTTCTGAGAGAGCTGCGAGCCAAGAAGACGTTCGCGTGCGATTTGGTGGGTCACTTGAACTCGAGCAGTGGACTCCCGGGCGTATTCTGTAACCGTTTGCGTAGTTGATGGGAGAAGAGTCTCGAAGAGTAACGCTAAATGGCGGCCGAACAATAAATAGAAGGGGGACAAGCCAGCGGTGTCGTGGCGTGACGAATTGTATGCGAATGTCACATAAGGCAAAGTACTATCCAAATCAAGGTGATATTTGGAAACGTACATGGAGAGCATTGTTGTGAAGGTTCGATGTAGGCGCTCGGTAAGACCATTTGTTTGCGGGTGGTAGACCGTAGTGAGCTTTTGACACGTCGAACACGAGCGAAGGATGTCGCTTACTACTTTAAAAGAAATGAGCGACCACAATTGGCCAGCAGCTGTCGAAGAGCGCCATGGTGAAGAATTACGTCATGAAGCAAGAAGTCCGTGACGTCAGTGGCACAGCTTGTCGGCAGCGCTCGTGTGATAGTGTATCTTGTGGCGTAGTCAGTGGCTACGGCTATCCACTTGTTTCCAGTGAGGGAAGTAGGAAATGGTCCATCGAGATCAAGACCGACGTGGTAGAAGGGGATGGTGGGTATGTCCATTGGTTGGAGCGGACCAGCTGGTGGCAAGGTGGAATGTTTGGAGTGCTGGCAGGACTCACAAGCAGCAATGCATCGGCGCACAGAATGGTAAAGACATGGCCAGAAGAATCTACGCCACACGCGATCGTACGTGCGTGTGACCCCGAGATGTCCAGCGGTTGGAGCGTCGTGAAGCTGTTCAAGAACAGCGGTACGGAGTGTCGCAGGAACTACGGGTAGTAGCTCTGGTCTCTCGGTGCTGGTGTTGCGTCCGTAAAGAATGCTATCGCGTAGAACGAACAAGTGTAGCGACGGGTCTATGTGAGGCAAACGTAGACTCTGCATGATAGACCGCAAGTGGGCATCACTGAGCTGTTCCTTGCGTATGTCAGTGAAAGCAGACATGGCGAAGACACAACGGTGAGAATCATGTGCTGAAAGGTCAGGTGGTCCACTGAGTGATGGGATAGACAGTCGGCATCCTGGTGCAATAGGCCGGATTTGTATGCCACGTCAAAGCTGTATTCTTGGAGTTTTAAGGCCCAACGGCCAAGTCGTGCAGTTGGATCTTTAAGGGACGACATCCAGCACAAGGCATGGTGATCCGTAATTACCGAAAAGGCACTCACGCTCTGTGATGAAAAACTTGCTCTTCCAAGGAGAAAGGCGGCGACTGGCATAAGCGATGACGCGATCCTGTCCTCGTTGCCACTGGGAGAGAACAGCACCAATTCCATGTCCGCTCGCATCGGTACGAACTTCAGTATGGGCTGACGGGTCGAAATGGGCCAAGATGGGGGGGGGGGGGGGGGGAGTAAGTAGTGTTGTAAGGATGCTTAAGGCAGTATCTTGGTCAGTTCCCCAATAAAAAGGCATGTCCTTCTTCAGTAGTTCCGTAAGTGGTCGGTCAATCTCAGCGAAATTCTTCACAAAACGCCGAAAGTAAGAACAGAGGCTGGTAAAACTGCGTACATCTTTTGCAGAACTTGCTAGGGGAAAATCTTTGAGAACTCGAATTTTGTCAGGATCAGGTTGCATGCCTCGAGCACTGATAAGGTGGCCCAGCACAGTGATTTCCCGACGGCCAAAGCGACATTTGGAAGAGTTGAGCTGAAGTCATGCTGTTCGGAAAACCTCAAGAACAAAGGTGGCTTTCAAATGTAGGGGAAAATATGATGACGTCATCGAGACAGCACAAGCATGTGGACCATTTGTATCTACGCAGGAGAGAGTCCATCATCCTTTCAAATGTCGCTGGGGCATTACACAATCTGAATGGCATAACCTTGAACTGGAAAACTCTATCTAGTATAATGAATGCGGTTTGCTCAAGGTCTTGATGATCGACAGAAATCTGCCAATATCCTGATCGTAAGTCGATAGATGAAAAGTAGGCAGACCCATGTAGGCAGTCGAGAGCATCGTCAATCAGCGGCAGTGGATACACGTCCTTACGTGTTACTTTGTTTAAGTGACGGTAGTCTATGCAGAAGCGCCTACTGCCATCCTTCTTCTTGACTAGCACGACCGGCGATGACCATGGACTGCAGGAAGGTTCGATGACGTCTTTTGTGAGTATTTCCTGAACTTCGGGCTGATAGCTCGTCGCTCAGCATTTGACACGCGATAAGGACGTCGTCGGATGGGGCTGACGCCTCCAGTGTTAATCCTATGAGTTACTAAGGATGCTTGACTCAAAGGGTGGTCATCAAAATCAAAGGTGTCACGGCAGGATTTCAGCAGGTGCCGCATATCAGCTGTCTGTGCTGGAAGAAGGCCAGCGGCGATCATCTCGTCGATGGTGGCATACGCTGTGCTCTTCGAGGAGGAAAATGAAGCAGAGGACGAAGAAGATTTGGCAACGAACGTCGAAACGGCAGCATCTATAGAAGAAACTTTTGTCCAAGTCATACCATCTGGGATAACTTGAGTTCACTAGTTGAAGTTTAGTTTAGAATCGGAAGAGATGCTGCCTTGCCCGTGACTGTCAAAGTGTGTGAGGCACGGCAACATTCTTGGCCAGCAGAACGTCAGAAATAGGTGTCAACATGTAGGCACCGTCGGGAACAGGAGGGACAGATCTCAGGTTCACGTAGGTAACGGCTTGAGGTGCTAGTCGAACGCGATCTACAGAACACAGACATGGTTGAGCTGGTGTTGGGTCGTCATGGTAACACGCTAAATCAAGTTGAAGCATGCCGGTTCCACAATAAATAAGGGCAGAGTAGGCGGATAAAAAGTCCACGCCGAAGTTAAGTTCATGGGAACATTTCTCGAGCACAGCGAATAGCACTGTAGTGGAGCGATCGACAACACTTATACACGCGGAGCACATTCCAAGCACGGGAAATGTGCCACAGTCGGCGACCTGGATGAGTGGTACTGTGGGTGGCGTTAAAAGTTTCCTAATGCGGTAACGAAGTTCTGAAGTCATCACTGACATGTGAGCCCCTGTGTTCACAAGTGCAACAACGGGTGTGTCGTCTACTTCAACGTCAATAAGGTTGCGTCAAGTTGGCAGCTTGTTCAGAGGATTTGGCGGGCAAGTGGTCGATGCAGCATCGCCTACGGGAGCTGCATAATCTGGTTTTCCCGCGGCAGGTGGTCAGTCGGCGACGTTGGTCGGCGCCATTGGGGCGAGCGAGACGATGGGCGACGGGAGAGCGGTGAACGGGACTGGGGAGCATACGGAGATGAAGAACGACGATGATATGGCGGCACAGAAGAAACGTCTTCACTAGTAGGTGATTCCCTGTAAGGTTGAAAGCGTCCATGATCCCGCTCTGGGCAATGGGTGTACCCATAGGATGCCTGATGCCAATGCTACCAAGTGTTACAATGGCGGGCCACGTGTCCTCCACCTCCACCAAATGTCGTGGGGGTGAGAGAATGGATGAAATAAATATATTTACAAAATATACAGAGAGAGTCAGAAGCAGCTGCAGCTAAGATGGAGGTACAACAGCAACGACAACACGAGGGCGATTGCATTCATCATCATCGTCGTCCAGCTGATGCTCTCTCGTTGCCGATGTCGTGTAACAAAAATATTTGTAGCAGCACCAAGATGAGAAGTAGTACATACATTTACTACATCTGCTTTTTGAATCGATAGCAATATAAGTTTCTATTATGAAACCTAAACTACAGCCGTGTACGGTTCCACTCATGCATTCGCTTAAGGCGACTCAATGGCGAAAGTAATCTTTTTTTTGTCAGTTGGTGTCCATCGAGGTTACATCATCCCATGATTATGATTTTTCGCATCACTCGTGTTGACACCACCAACGGTCGATTTCTGCTCTTGTTGAGGCCTTAAAGCTTTTACTTTAAAAATCGTACAACAATACCTGTTCAAAATCAAGAATAAAACCAAGAAATTTAAAGATAGGTGGTGTATGCTACCCTGCGTGTATATTGAAGTGGAGGGGTACGAGATATCAGATGCCGCAAATATAGAAAGCCACGTAACGTATTTAAGCTTGGATTGGCACTACTTAGCCGACAGGCTATGCAGCCCCCCCCCCCCCCCCCCCTTTATGTTCGCGTGCTGTGGAATTAATCAGCTTGCGAGGGTCACTACAGAGAACATAGTAATGACTGGGCTAACTCTGACAAGCGCATTAGTGAAGGCTGGAGTAATTTTGGCTACCACTAAAGTCTGATATATAAGAAGTCGCTGGAGAAACGAAGAGCATTTGCCCAGAAAACAAAAATCTAGACTGCTGTATGAAAAAAAAGGTGATTTTATTTTTATTGCGGTCTTCAGCGTAGTTGCACCTTTAATGAAGTGCATCTTATCTCCCATGCAAGGAGGTTGAGTAAGCGGGTACAAACACGACGTTACTGGGAATAAAATTAGTACTGCTGCTGGATGGCGGCACACAGGCGGGCCCTTTTACTCATTCCTGATCTTG